TGAAAGAGAGAGAGAGAGAGAGAGAGAGAGAGAGAGAGAGAGAGAGAGAGATAGAGACAGGGGGGAGACGGCTGGGGCAGCTGATAATGAACAAGTTTTGTCTTCTGATTTCAATTTTTATGATTTATACAAGTGAACGCAAACTTTTCGACAGACACTGTTATTCGCTTTGGTGTTAATAGAGTTTTCAAATTGTGCTTAAATATTTAATGCGCTAGAGTTTTCACCATGCGCAAACAGCTGCAGCACTGTGTGTGCATTTTTTTATTGAATTTTCAGTGGAAATGCTTTTATGAAACATATTTTGTGGCTCGACTCGAAATGGAGCCAAATGCCAAGCAAAAGCAGAATGAATGCAATTGTAACTCGTTCTATGCGTATGTGTGTGTGTATGTGTGTGTGTGGCTAACCAAATTTTGTTGATATAAATAGGTTTCTGGCATACCTCACACACACACACACACACACACAGACACTGATATGCATATGCTTATTTATGAACTGTTTCATGGACCGCAATAAAACAGAGCTGAGAATTCCCTTCGAGCTGAGCTCCACTTTTTGCTAGCTCATTGCGGCAAATGGGCTACAGAGAGAAGGAAAGAGATAGAAAGGAGGGAGAGAGAGAGAGAGAGAGAGAGAGAGAGAGATAATGCTAGTGCCACAGTGCCACATTGCCACACTGGTTGCATCCTTCAGCGCATCCTTATGCGACTTTTGCGGCTTGCATTTGACTGCCATTTGGGGAGCTTAGATAAAACTCGCAGCGCCAAGAAGCTGCACAAAACGAATGCGAATCGTACGCAAATGTGTTTGGCATTTAGAAAAGAAAAGACACAGAGAGAGAGCGAGAGAGCGAGAGAGGAAGAGCAGCATCAGGCAAATGGCATGCAACTGAAATGGAAGTTTAATAAAATCTGCAAGCTGCAAAATCGAAGCTAAGCCAACTGCTTTGGCATTTTCAATTTTAAATATGCCAAGAACGTGAACATAAATTCTATAATAAGCTAGACTATTCTATGAGGAGTGAATTGAAGGGTGTGTGCTTAAGAAATTATAACTGATTTGGTAATAGAAAGAGTGAGTGCGAGAGAGAGAGAGAGGGAAAGAGAAACAAGGCATCGGATAAGACGCTCAACTAACAATACAAGTAAGAAAACTCTAGTTGGTTGTGTCTGAGTACGAGAACCCCAAACCCATTTAAATTTCAATGTATTAAAAAAAAATAAATAAATGAAATAAAAACTCATTTCATTAAATACATAAATAATGAAGCAATTCAAAATAATTAAAAGGAATTGCGCTCTCTGGATGCGAACCAGAGACTTCTCGATCTAGCGTCGCGCTGCTCCTCGCAACGCCATCTCACCTTTCTACTTCTTCATGACAAAACTGAAATAGGATTCACTGCTGCAGCGCCATCTAGCGAATCCAAACCAAACTAACTGCTGATGTGACTCTAAGAATGTGTTAGAATAGGTTTGAATGTATGTGTGCACGCGCATAGGAAAACTGTTGTGGCTGCTGCACGTTCGTTGGTTAATTGGCCAAATATTTTGTTATTTTTTAACCTCGATTCACTTAACGGAATTCAATGAAACTTTCAGCATATGATTTATGACTCTACCTTAAGACAATTGGAGCAGTCGACAAATCGAAGACTAATATCTATAGCTGATAAATATAATAAATATAATAAATATCTAAAAATAAATCTGAAAGCCAATATATTCTTAAATATAACAAAGCCCTGAATTTCCAATTCAAAATTCTACACTTTTTGACTTGATATGAACGATATATATCGAAACTATGAATTTATTTTGATACATAGTTATCTTCGATAGGATTTCATTTCGATGACTTCCTATTAAGGCGTGAAGTTGACACGTCCCGCGAAATAGACATCGTTGTCTTCCCGGACAAGGAACAGAAACGGACGGTCCACCACAATATGCTGAGGTTTCAGCGATGTTCCTGGAAGAAGAAGTGAAAAAATATGCTACTGAATCGATTTGAGCTTGTTGTTGTTGTCATTTGAAATACATACTTGAAGCGAATGCCACTTCGGCGCCACGTTCATCAACATCTAGTACGACTCTTTGTATTATGTGATCCACTTTCAGTGGCCCTTTAGAAGTGGCCAACTTTGAAATATTCACGTTGCTGAACAAATCGTGTATTCCCAGGTCCTGCATCGGTTTCTTCAAGTCATCTTCAGAGTCGATTTTGAACTTGGGAAGCTGGACATTGACTGGCCTCGCTTTGCCCCGCCGATGCAAATTCGTCATATGGACCATCGTCAGGTTCTGGATAAGAGTGTTGATGCCATCAATTTTCCTCGGCACTAGAAGCGTCATTTTCAAATGTTTTTGCTTGAATGGTAGGTGCAGGACGTCGGTGTCTATTGCCTTGATATATTCGAGCACAAATTCACCCGTTATACTCATCATATCGACGGGAGTAACCGTATTTGCGCTCGTGTGGAAGTCCACCTTTTTCGTAAGTTTCGGATCGAATGCATATTTCCACTCCGCATTGAAGTAGGCCGTCAGTACCAAGTTTATTTTCATATCTGGACTAGTTTCGTTTATGAAAAACTCTATTTTTTGGTTTGTGTTTTGCGTTATCCACTTATTCAAGGTCGCTAAAGCCTTTTCGGTTTCCTCATCAGGTAAAAAATCTTTACCGACAAACCAAGCACTTTCGATGCGAATACCAACCGGGACTAAATGAGTCCCTTCATCTTTCAGTAAACCAATATTGTCACTGTTCGTTTGGCGTTCTTTTCCCATTGCTCTAAATTCGTTAGTTTCTTCGGAAGTTCTGTCCATATAGTCACTATTCAAATCACGTGTGGCGTTAGTAAAATCGTCCAAGTGTACAAAAAACATCATAGCTTCATTTATCTGTTTAGCCGTTGGGCCGGCGCCAGTGAATGCAGAAAATACGAGCATATTGTGTGTGAGCAAAAAAGGCGAAAAGGCGGCACTGCCTGTTGAATTGCCCTTGAGTACGGCGTTAATAAGTTTCATATTTAATGAAACCAACCAAGGCAGTGTTCTGGCGGCCAGTGCCAGAAACACAATCCCGAACAACGTATAAGATAACTTGACCATTCTGCAAGAACTGACGGCATATGCCGTCAAACAAACGGCACGAATCCAACGTTGAACGATTATTCATACCTAATTGCATTCGTTCTAGATTGAAACTGTGTAAATTGACTATAAAAATATCTCATTTTACGCCTATCGCTATAAGACATTTAACAATCTATCATACATATTTATAGATTAGTTACGGATTACATAATAATGAAGCAGAACGAGAAGAAAGGCGATGTTTGACTAGAAGATACCTGTACTTACACTTGTATATATGTATGTGTGAATGCCATATGCATCGCGGATGTCGAGTCAAATGCCAGTATAGCTAATTGTGAATGATTTTTCACTTATATAAATTTGTCAAATATTTAATAGAGTATGTAGATCACATGCTGAAAGTTTCATTGAATTCCGTTAAGTGAATCGATGTTAAAAAATAACAAATATTTGGCCAATTAACAAACGCACGTGCAGCAGCCACAACAGTTTTCCTATGCGCGTGCACACATACATTCAAACCTATTCTAACACATTCTTAGAGTCACATCAGCAGTTAGTTTGGTTTGGATTCGCTAGATGGCGCTGCAGCAGTGAATCCTATTTCAGTTTTGTCATGAAGAAGTAGAAAGGTGAGATGGCGTTGCGAGGAGCAGCGCGACGCTAGATCGAGAAGTCTCTGGTTCGCATCCAGAGAGCGCAATTCCTTTTAATTATTTTGAATTGCTTCATTATTTATGTATTTAATGAAATGAGTTTTTTACTTCATTTATATGCTCAAATACATTGAAATCTTAGCCATAAGTTTTTTTTTTACTTGCTGAATCTAATATCTCTCAAATGGCTGCGGCGTGTTTTGTCTGTCTCTGCCAAAAGAGACAGGGCTTGGTATTGGAGTAGACCAAACCTGAATCTTAATGTAACTAAGAGTGTTCTATAGAGACTACTCGACTACTAGATCCCTGATATGAACACGACCTCTGCTAACTGCGCAGTTGGCGCAGCAACTGAGCTCGGAACCACACAACTTCAACGCACTTGGTGTCTATAATGCTATTCTTTTCGTACGCAACTCGTGATGTATGATTATTATATATAAGAATCAATTTCTTTGAATACTCTTGACATTAAGAGTTCTTTCCACAACATCTGCCTTACAATATATGCTTCCTCAACACTTTCAATCGCTCAGACATTCAGTCAACTGTTTACCACCCAATTGAGCTGTAGGATTGTATATATTCTCAATATCTTCTTCAGCGCGTGCTTAGAGTTGTAAGCTCTCTCTGCTGGCAATAAAAATTTCATATTTTTATGCAAATATCTGAGGGTGGGGGCGTGGCAGGTCGAGGCGTATACTCGATTACCTTGATGCATTTACATGGCAAATGAAATTAATTCATAAATAACAAGCTCTAAGATACATTTCCACAGCATTAAACGCGCGCTGAGCCGGGCCCAAAGCTCGCAAAGAGGCAAGAACATATGAGCATTATGCAAATTAGATTGTTTGCCAAAATCAACTCTCGAGGCATTTCCAGGGCTGCAGAGGAGTGCTGGAATTGTGTGGGCGGGGCGGGTAGGCAAAAGGATTCGCACATTTCGAGTCGACGCTGAAGCGAAAAGCCCGCAAATGAAATGAAACGAAATGTTTGCATAAACGCTTTAATCGAATTCCAATGCAAATTCAGTTAAATTTCATTTCCGACCCAGAACGAAGACGAAGCGATGCGACGCGACGTTACGCCCGCAGACTCTGCACTTGGCAACTCCCGCTGTTTGGCCCCGGCAACGGAAATTAGCATAACACTCGCGGTAATACAATAAAAAGAAAAAAGGGATACAGACACAGCCGCAGCTACATTTACAGTTACTAGAGTTCAAGATATACAGATACAGATACAGATACTTTGGCTAGGGGAACAGCTAAATGGCGGGCCCTAAGAAATTGAAATAGGAAACACTTTTTTCCTGCAAGGAAACTGAAACAGCTGACTGACTCTGGGGCAGACTCTCTCTCTCTCTCTCTCTCTCTCTCTGTGTATGCTCTACTCTAATTCGAACAGGATCTATAGATATATACATGTATATTGGCAGAAATGGGGTGTTACATGGCTCAAATCCAACAGTTACAAATTGTGCTGCTGAAAAAGGGTGAGCATGCAGTTAACTCTGGCATTTTATAGATATAAATATACTTTATTTGTCGCCATTTATTTAAATTATTATATGGGAGTCCAAATATTGCATTACTTGTAGGGAATATCTCATAATAGGATTGACGTTTTTGGGAAATCTAGGAAGAAACAAAATTAATTTGGTTTTATAGCAACAGTTATGTAGAAGTCATATAAATAGGTCTTACAGTAGGCCAAAAAAGTATTGCCACACTTGAAAAATCAAATTTATATGTGCCGTAACTTTTTTCTGCGCACAGCGATATTTATTAGAATCATGTATTCTAATAATATAGAACACAGAAATGAAAATAAAATAAAATAAATCAATTAATATATTTACAATTTAAATAATTAATGAAGATAAAATGATGAGTAAACATTAAAAATAAATTATTGTTTAGATTTAAATTAAGAATGAAATATATTTATGTGAAAACACACGTAGTTGAATAGACAAGTCGAGATACTTATCTCTCAAAATAAGGAGATATAAATACAAATACATATATCTATAGACACACAATTGTAGTCGCATAAAATGCGGATTTGCATTTTGTTAGACTCATCAATTCACTCCCTAACTACCAGTTAAAGTCCTTGTTAAACTCATTAGACTATGCAAATTTTATTTACAAAAAAAAAAGACCCGGATCGCTGCCCTCTTCAAATCCTTTCGCCATTATGCAGTATTTATATTTATGCGCAATGTTTCGGGCTTGGCCTTTTGCCTAATAGAGCGAACAGCTCAATTAATGAGCCAAGTTTGTGTGTATGTGTGTGTGTGTGTGTGTGTGTGTGTGTCGGCTTCTCTTTGAGTTTATGGAGATTGGTCAAGCTTTGCTGTCTGGGCGAAAGTTTAATGAAATCTTGACACGAAACTTGCGAGTGGGATGTGAGCTTCTCTCTCTCTCTCTACCTCTAGCTCTCTCTTACTTTTTTTACCCGCTTCTTAGCAATTGTCGCGTCATGAATTTTATTTCGTTCTTTACAAGTTGTAAAAGGAGCGAGAGTAAAAGAAAAAGCAAAAGAAAATATATTTGAAGTTTTTGTGCCGCTTTACAAGTTGTTGGCCATAAGCCAGGCCCAGGCCTGCTCTATAGAGTATGCATGTGTGTGTGTGTGTGTGTGTGTGTGGGGCGAAAAGTTTTTCGGTGAGGCACAAAGTTTTTTACTCCTCGCACAACAACTGCATATTCAAAGCACTTACCAACACTGGCACAATGCGTGCGCGAACTGCTGCCGACTGCTGTCCGTCCGTCTGTCTGGCCTGTCCCCGGGCGCGCATTTCCGCTACATGCCAAACACTCTTGGCCTTTGTCCCAGGGACCGCAAAAGTCAGCGCCTGGCGCATACAAATTAATCACTTGGTCAAAAGGTTCGAGAGTGTCAGCAATGCCAAAAGGCAAAGTTAATGGCTTCGGTTTCGGTTTCGGTTTCGGCTTGGGCTACCCTTCTCTAACACGCGCGCTCGCATTGTCTCTCCCCCTCTCTCTCTCGTACTCTGTATAGAGCTCACTCTTTATCTCACCTCAACCCATCTGCCCTCTCTCTCCCTCTCTCTCTCTCTTTCTCTCTCCCTCTCTTGACAGCTTTGTCCATGCTGCTCACGTACGCGACGTTTTTATGATATACCAATTTTGACATAATCCACGTGGATTACGAACACGAGCATTGGCTGTCCCGCACACACACACACACACACACACACACGCAGTTGCTCAAATTGGCCAAAATAGAGAAATGCTTCACGGTAAATGCTAGAGGTAGACATACATCAAAATGGCGAGTTAGAGTTAGAAAGAGTGTGAGAGTGTGAGAGAGAGGGGAGATAGGGACAGAGCTGCAAAGAGTTGAAGTAGCTCTAACTTAATATGCGAACTGTGAACTAAAGTCGATTTTACGAGCATTGCCAAAAGCTCTACACAAACTTGATGTTCGATTAAATGGCTTATCCATTAACTAGCCGGGGGTTGCTTTAAATTAGATATTGACTAATCAATGATGGTACATATAATGTGCATTAAAATGACGAGATATAACAGCAGCTACATCATATTCTATTCCATTTCTAGACAGTCAATCTAGGGTAATATCAATGACAGCTACTCAGTTCGAACAACATCAAACATTAAAATCATTTTTCTCAATAAGTTGAACAATTAACCGTTTAATCATTCAATCAGTAAATTTTTCATTTAGTCTTTCTATCAGTCAGTGGAGAAGCAACTCTGTCAATCAGTCAGAAACCATGTCTCATGCCTTATCAAGCCATCAATCTCTTATTCCAACTTTCTTATCGTTACTATCATTTATCGATTCGATTTCCGATTACATTAAGATACAATTAATCAGCTATCAATTAACAATCATCTAGGATTCTCAGTTAGCAAGCCAATTATGAGTCTAGACAGTTTTTTTTTCTATTCTATTTTCTATTACTCAATCAAAAATGATGTAACACTATTAGTCAGTCGCTTAGAACATTTTCTTAAGGGTTCTCTCCATGACAGCCTACCTTACACTTGGTTCCACCATTTCGTATACCCTGCAAAATCGCTTTCGCTGTCAATCTCTGCCGAAATTTCGCGTGAACCGCATCGATTTCTATATAAGCAGGCCATAACGCTGTCGTTCCCGTGTCTGTCAGGCTAATGGAGTCGGTGCAGGGGGGGCGGGGCGACGTGGCTTGTATTTACCTCGTAGTTGTAGTTCAATAAACTTTTATGCTAAAACCTTGCCATTCATTACGGGCTCGACGGGGCGAGCAAACAAAGCATAAATATATGCCCAGGCATGCTTCCCAGATAACTGTGAGTGGGCAGGCGGTGCCATAGGAAGGGCCGGGCCGACTACATGCTACTACTGGGCACACATTGAAACCGAGATTGTCAACAAAGGCATAAGCGAAAGTGATACCGGGATTTTCCACATGACGACGACGGCGACGACGATGAGGATGATGATGATGATGATGACGGTGCCTTAGACGACGCAGCTGCCTCTACTCGACTGGCAATGCCGGTGCCCATGTCGATGCCATCGTAGCCATTGCCGATGCTGAAATATGCATTATAGTTATGGTAATGGCCCGCTCAGCTACCCACGCAGATCCAGCTATGTCCGCAGCTGAGGCGACTGCGCTGCTGACGCCGATGCTGACGTTTACGCTGATGCTGATGTCAAAATGATGACAGGCATATTTACGCTCATTTCGGCATCTCAATGCTCTACACGGGCCTTAGAGACGAAGCCATGTGATGGGCAACTGATATTATTGTATAGCACGAGCAGGGAATGTGGAGACATGGAAAATATCTTAAGAAATACAATTTTTTTTTTTTTTTTCAAATTTCGAAGGCGACTTTGAGCACGTTTTATACAATA